CATTTGAACAAAGGTCACATTTGAAATTTCCTGTTTTTCAACCCCAAAGATTCCAAAGGCTGTTGTGCTTCTGGCCTTGGGAATGAGTGTCAGGTTCACTCCCTCGGACATATTTTCCCCAACTTCCAAATTGGTGGAACAGAATTAGGCAGTGTTATCCTCATGAACTGCAATGGACTGGCATACAGGAAGACACCATAAAATAGAATTCCTCAACCTCAGGACTATGGACACGTGTGACTGGATAATTTTTACTGTGGGATTACCCTGTACATTGTAGAGTGTTTAGCAGCACTACGCAATTCTTCCCTCAATGTCAACAGCATTCTCCCAGCTGTGAGGAGTAAATTATCTTCGCAAACCAAATATCCCCAGGGTTTATGTAGAATCAATCTCACTGCCATAAAGGTGTAAGTATATAAGTGAACAGCAAGGTGCATTCATCTCATCTTCTGGATATAATCTTGCTGAGAAATCCCTCTGTATTAGCAATGTTGTATGTGCTGATAGAAACATCAAGAAGAGCAAGGTACAGTTTCCTTCTCATTTAACTCACAATAGACCATGGAAAACAAACACAAATGACCAGGACATAGAATAGGACGGCATGAGAATCAATTGTGACCCAATATGATTTCATACAAACAGAGACAAAAATCTCTTTGGAAAAATCAAGTAAGATGTTTAAAGAATGTGACATTTACAAGAATATGGTCTTTAAAGAGGAGCAAGATTCCAACAGGCCAAAGAGAAGGTTAAGATTTTCCAGGAGATAAAAGAGGACATTGGAAATTGCTTTCTGGAAGAAGTGGGAAGAGCTTCGAACTCCGATGGGTATTGATGATTTGTTTAAGAGGAGCCTCTCATTTGACTTCATTTTTTTATTTTAGGAAGGGAGATTGAGAGCATAGCTCAGTGATAAAGTCTGTGCTGAGCATTCAGGAGACCCCAGGTTATATCCCAGTACTGCAAATTTTTAATATTTATAGCATATTTTTGATGGAAGGAAATAACACAAAAAGATGACAATAAAATCTCCTAGCCCCTGTTCCTTTGCTTTTATATTTAACTCTTCTTCTTCACATTTGCCAGAGATTGTGGAGAGAGAAATGAGGAGTTTGTGACTCATTCAAAAAACGATCCAAAGTACTTCTAGTCAATGGAATTCAGGAAGCTATTACAAAATTTCTGTTTTACTTATTTATAAATTTATAGTGTTATTTTACTAATTAAAATGACTTTCATTGAAAACTTGATGATTTTAAGAAACAGGCAAATGAAACTATTTAATTTTTTGTTTGTTGACATTCCAGCAATTAGCAGCCATGTTCAAATGATATGGAAAATAGCAGCATAATATATAAAGGACAAGGACAAAGGAAATAATCGAAAGTCAACTTTGTTTCGTACACTGGTTCTTAATCTTTCAGGACTTACATTCCCTTTGGATATACATGTTAAAAGTGTTTCTTCCTCCCCATAAAAATACCCATAGACACATAACCACAATATTTAGCTGTAAACTTCAAGATATTCTTGACTTTAAAAAGCCTATTTATAATGTTCTCATGCACTCAGTTTCCTTAGATTATAAAACCCTGATTTAAAAAAAAAAATCATGACTGAGAACAATACTTCAGAAAGTTAAGAAGCATCACAAGGGCTGAAAATACCAAGTACGACAGTTTAGAAGCTGAAATTCATGGGCTCTTTTAAAATACCTGGAATAATTTTTAACTGATAGGTACTCCAAAAGATTTAGTCATCATTTTCTATTAAAGTGATAACAGTTTAAATTACTCTTATTTGATGGAAATTCTTGTATGTCTTTAAAAGCAATATGATGAAAAAATAGAAAATTCTTGAACGGAAATCAAAAAGACATTAGGGCTTTTCCAAAGCTATTAAAACTTGGGTTAATTTAACCTTTCTGAGCTTTACTTTTTTACTCCTTTTTATAATAAAATATTGGACTAAATTATATTAAAGCCCTCTCTATGATCTAAAATTCTATACTTTAAACTCAATCATTTCACTCTAATAAATTAAGACAAATAAATAACTTTTGCTAAATATTAGAATAGCTTCAATTATTCCCAGAGTAACATATTTTTCAGGAAATGATTCCAAGATAGATGTGGTTGAATTGGTAAATGGCTGAATTTGCAAACGTGGGCGATAATTAAATCATTACGCTCAACTCTATTAAATATTAATGAATTCTCCATGACGTTGAATCAAAAGGGTTTTCTACAAGAGAGGTTCTGACCCGGCTGTCTGAATGATGAATCATCCCTCACTCGAGGTGGTCTTCCCCAGCTCCAAGGTACTCATAGGCACTACCAGGAAATTTAACTGTGGTTGACTGTGTTGTGCTTGGCTTTTAACTAAAAAAAAGAAAAGAAAAAAGAACTTTCAATATTGATATCACAGGAGCAAAAGATTTTCTCTTAGGAAAAGAATTTGACATTAAAAAAATAATGCACTCGGCCAAGGTTCCAGGCATCTGAATGCACTCACCATTTGTGTGGCTTTAAATCTGGTGGAACACATGCCAGACCCAGGGATCAGAAATGCATCTGGGTAGCAGAAGCTGGTCAGTGTAGTCCCCTCCACTCCCTTTGGTTGTTTGTTTTTGCAACACATGTTAGGCACCAAAGAGACAAACAAGAATAAAATGCCTTTCTCCTTTCCCATCTGGTTCCTGGCCAGAGACACAAAGCCCAACCACAGCATCAAGTTTCAATGTCCTGGCTGCCCAGGGACCCCACTTTCTTGTTCTCTCCATTCTTCCTTGCAAATACTTTCCCACCAATGCAAAATACTGTAATACAATAAAATATAGGGTTATTGCTATATGACCCCGTTCCAATTACCAGTCATTAATACTGTGTGGTGAGATAATATATTTTTGCTTTATTTCCTAAGAATGTAGTCTGATATAAGATATAGTATTTTATACAGACACCGTTTTAAACTGCTGAATTTAAAAAATGTATATAAATTAATTTTGGTGTTTAAATGGGTTGTGTTCCAAGAATTAATTGAAAAGTTTGCTGTTTGGAGCTCACAACATATTTCTCATGAAAACAAAATCTTACAATGGGTATTTAAATTCAACAGAATAAAAAGAAAGGGAAGGGAATGAGAGAAAAAGGAAGATTTAAGTCAACATATAACAAATTGTATCACAGGTTCCTTTGCAAATAGGAATTTGTTTCTATTCCAGAATAGAAACTGAGAATCCCTTAGATGCCAGCAGCATAGCAGAACAATGCAAAGATGATCTCTTTCAAGCGTGCAAGCACCGAGCTAGCAGGGAGACAACAAAGCACCTGTGATATGGAATGGTGTAGCCTGGCTACATGGCACGTTGTCACAGCTTTCATCTCAAGAGAGTACAGCAGGCCACAAGCAGAGGGCACCATGACCACCCTAGCCACTCACACTGGGAGAAATTCAGAACTTGCTAAAAATTAAGCCCTGGTAGATAGAGTTGATTTCCTTGAGAAACCTCAATATTTTCAGTGGCTTAGTGGAAATTATTACATAATAATGGGGTATAATTTATTTTATTTAAAATTTTAATTTAAAATTTTGACAAATTTAAAAGAGTATATGCATAAACGTATACAATTCTTATCAGGTTTTGATTCATTTACATCAAAACTCCTTTGCTAATTTTCAAAACTTATGGTAAAATCCAGAACTCATGTCATGTATACTTTAGCTATATAACTTTCAGCTGTGCATTTTCACACATAGTGACAATACCATTATAACTTTCAATAAAAATGTTTATATTCTACTACCCTCATATCCTATATATGCCATATATGCTAGGTTTGTTCTAATAAGTGTCCAAACTAAGTTCATTTATTACATTTGTTTGTTATGCTCCTTAAATATCATCTTAAGCAGACCCATATCCCTATTTTTCCCATACTATTGACTGGTCATCAGTTTCACAGTGGTGTCATCGTTGTCTGTAAGCATCATTTAACTTACTCTAAATGGAAGATAATTCTAAAGATGAGCCTTAAAGCACCATAACAGTATATTTACATTATCACTGGTAGAATTTAACTGCCATGGTTAATAGACAAAATTACTATATTTTAGATTTAAAATGTTCTGAAATTGCTCTATATTAATCATATAGCACACTAAATAGCTTAAATATGGCTTGTACTCTCAAAATGACACCTACCTGGTTTCTATCATCCCAAGAATTTGTGGATCTACAATAGAGGATTCCTCTTGAGAAATACTGAAAGAGGACTTTGGAGTTAGGGATCATATTTTCACTGAAACACAAGGCCTCTTTAAGTATTTTACATTGAATTAAGCTTCTGAGCTGGAGTACAAGATGGTTTACCTTCAGGTAAAGGACTACTTGTGATCATATCTGAATGAAAAGGATCAGTTGAATGTAACAGGTAACTGCCTCTGCAGTAAGCTGACTTTCCAAAAGACAAAATCAACTCAGAGAAATGAACTTAATACCATGTTTTCTTTCCTCCATTCATGTTCTGCTAACATAAATAATCAAAGTCATAGTTGAAAGGTCAAAAACATAAAGCAACATGAAACCTATTGGAGGGGACCTTGGCATTGGTGATGTGTAAGTACAGTAAATTTGTAATCCTCAGAATCACATTATTATGCAGTGACAGTTATTATTTCCATTATAAAGATGAGCAAACTCAGTTATAAAAAGCTGTCTTTTCTCCAAGGTCACACAGTAATAGATGGATGGTAGGGATTGAAACTGATTCAGTGTGGCACTTTAACATGCTACCACACCACCTCTCGGAATGAAGCCAGGAGATTATCTTTCTCTTTATATGAGCTCCAAGTGGTGGGGAGACTTCTTCACACTCTGATGCTGACCTTGAATTTTTATATATCTCATAACCCATGCAGGTTTTTAATGTATTAATGTGTATATATGCCCTTAATGATAATCATGTGTAAAATATTCCCTGTGTTTTAAAGAGGTCATCAATAAGCTTGTCCCTTTGGAACTGATTCTTAATATTCCTAGCTATCGTAGAGTTCATCATGGTAACGAAGTTTTAATTCCTTTTTTCTTCTTCATTGCATTAAAATTTATAATACTGAGTGAAGGAGGAAGGGTGGTTGAAAGGAAGGGAACAGCAGGATGTAACTTTCCACCCTGTTAATGGATCAAGAAAAGTGAGAGCTCTACTTTGAGAAACCTACAGACCTACAATGAGCAACAGGAAATCCACTGGAGCTTCAGACCACCTGGACAAGGCAGGAGTGAGGTCTCCCTGAACAAAGGCAGGCAGTGCATTTCAGTTTACCCATATAAACCTGAGAGAAGATCGTTGGACTCTGAAGAGCAAAGAAAGAAGGAAGAAATCCCACCACTACCGGAGACAAAGTTGGAGACAGCTCCTGAGCTGGCCCTGAGGTCAAACCTCATTCTTACCTTTGAGTAGAAACTTGCAGGAAAGGTTTTGGTATCACTCTGGACAACAACTAAAAATCCTACCAGAAGGAACTGTTTTAGGCACATGACTTGACCCAATTTAGATGTTATAGATTAGATAACAGTGGGTTTAAAAAAATTAGGCTCTTCAGACCAGCCCTCAGAAAGAATTTGGAAGGGCAAGCTGAAAGATATAAGATCGGGGAAGCCCGGCTGTTGAGCTTTGAAGCTAGAAGCACAGACGCTACAGCTATGATATCCCTTGTGGCCCAGAGGAGGAAATATTGAGTGGCACTGAAGCATCTCGAGACTCAATTTAAGGAACTGGTGCCAATTCATGAAAAGAAAACTGTGGAAGTTGAAGGGACCACTGCTTCGATCAAAAGTAATTACAAAATGGCCGATCACTTCTCTTTGAGTGAAGAACAAAACCCAGAACTGGTGAAGAAGCAAGAGAGAGAATCCAATCAGAGGGACAAGCATGATGAAGATGATGAGTTGATCTTTGTTGGGATGGAACATGTGAAAGAAGATTCTGAATTCTCTTTGTCAAAGTGATTTCAAATTCAAAACCAGTTACTTCAAACATTTCGAACAGAGTCACCCCAGGCTCATATTCAAAAAGAAAGAAAGGCCACCTCAGTCAAGACCCTGCTCATGTGTCTCAACTTGGAATTCATGTGACCCCAACAGTCAAAGCAATGGCTGCCATGCCAAGCTCTCAGTCTGAGAGGAGATCAACAGATAGTCCTATTACTATTGAATCTTCATCCAAACCTCTGATAAAATGAGGTCACCAGAAGTCATTCCTCCCCATGATTCATAGCAACTTTTCACTGCTGATAAAATCAGTAGAAATCCCAAAAGATTTAACTCAGGAATGAAATCCCAAGTGTACGTTCTTCAACCATGACCCCTCCTGGTATCTGTCCTATAACGGACACATGTACACCATCAAAAAGCATCTACTTGTCAAGCAATGTTCAGAATGGAACATCCTTTCCTTGAACTCATGCTAATGAAAAGGTTCTCAGGGATCCAGACCCAGAAAATAGCTCTGATGGTTTGGTAAAAACAGGCTTATCAGGTCTAACAGGTCAAAACAAGACCTTTGATCTCAAGACAGGAAGTCTGATCCTGTTACTTAGTGACTTTTACTATGGACAATTTAAAGGAGATGGGCAGCTAGAACCAAAGACTCACTCAACCTTTAAATGCCTCAGCTGCTTGAAAGTTCTGAAAAATGTTAAGTTTATGAATCACATGAAGCACTATTTGGAATTTGAGAAGCAGAGGGGTGATAGCTGGGAAAACTATACCACCTGCCAGCACTGCCATCAGCAGTTTCCAACTCCATTCCAGCTGCAGTGTCACATCAACAGGATGCACACTACCCAGGAGGCCTCTGCTATCTGTAAAATCTGTGAGTTGTCATTTGAAACAGATCAGGTTCTCTTACAATACATGAAGAACAATCATAAGCCTGTGGAAATGCCCTGTGTGTGCCAGCTTTGCAATTATAGATCGTCGGCCTTTGCTGATGTGGAAACACATTTTAGAACATGCCATGAAAACACTAAGGATTTGCTTTGTCTGTTTTGTCTTAAAATTTTCAAAACTGCAAATTCATATATGAATCATTGTTGGAGACACTGGAGCAAGAAGAGAGTCTTTCCATGTTCCAAGTGCTGGCTACAGTTTTTGAGTTTGAAGGAGGAAATAGAGCACAAAAGCAAAGATCATCAAACATTTAAAAAGCCAGAGCCACTGGAAGGGTTGCCTCCCAGAACCAAGGTTATTATTCAAACTTCAGTTCACCCATCAAGAAGTACAGAATCTATTATTGTGAGCAACATTGACTTTTGGCTATCATTTGTAAAAACTAAAAAGAGGAATAACTCTAGATATTCTGGACTCCTTTGCAGCCAGTTGTAACTAAATAAATGTTTTACCCACTCTCATGGATTCTGAAAGGCAGATATGAGACTAGGTCATCTGTATATCATGACTGATGCTTGCATGTAGTGGCAGATTTTACAGTGACATCTCTAGCTCCCTACTCTAAAGAAGCAGTTCAGAAATCTTCATGCCCTTTCTTCACTCAAACTCCTGTATAAAAGTAAACACTACTCTGATCTTTATCATCACAGATTAATTTTTACTGTTTCTGAACATTAAATAAAGGTGTTAAATCACTTTAATTAAATAGGATCAAACAATAAAAAATAATATTATTTTGTTTTACTTTGTTTAATCAAAACCACCCAGTACAGACAACACAAGCTGGATAGATGTAGCTCCTTAATTTATACCTGGACAGGACTTATCCCCACCCCCAGCATGGTTTGTGCCAGGGGTGGTAGGGAATTTGCTCTATCTGGCTTTGAATTTTCCTTTTTTACCTGCATCTCCACTTAGTTGTTGTAGAAAAATGAGTTAACAGGTTGAGGCTGTTGTGCCCAGATTACGAAGTCCCAAAGACCACCAGGAGGCTGTTTCCGATGTAAGCACACGAGGGTCATTTATTCAAGTTTAAGCAAGGACTCTCAATTGTCACCGACACAGCAGATCAAGATTGAGAGCCCCGAGTTCCAAATTAGCAGGGTTTTTATAGAGGTTACAGCAAGCTTCAGTCATTAGCAGCCATATGATTGGTTAACATTTAGCAAGTATGAAGTGTAGAATTTTGATTGGCTAGGCTCATTGGGGGTTGAAGGGGATTACGTATAGGTTTTTACAAGAAAAATGGGGACAAAGGTTAGTGGTCTACTGTCACGTACTGACGGTCAGCAGACATCTTGACTCATGGTCATGACCACCTTGTGTGGATAGTCAGCACGTTAACAGATTGTCCTATAGATAGTGGGCCCGGGACACTTGTTTCTAGGGCAAACAGATGGCTGAGTAATGAGCTTAGGAATCTTGAGTTACAGATCATGTCTTTTGTCCCAGATTAAGCACATTCAATCATTAATTTGAAAGAATAAAGGAGACTGCTCCATTTTGGACAAAATTTAGTCATTCTGGTCCCATATTCACAAAATGGAGTCACTTTTGGTCTCACAGAGGCGATGACATTTTATATCTTGAAAGAGTCTGGTGAAGGGTGTTGAAGATTATTCCTGTTTACAGGTAGAATCCTTGGTCTCAAAACGTATTGGGATTTGAGGACAGCCAGATAAACAAGCTTCCTTCTCCTGCCTACATTTTATGAACAAACTCAACATGAGCTGCAATTACCTGAGAACAGATTATGTGGCTAGTTCCTAATATTTGAAAATATCAATAAGTAATAACAAAAATTATTTATTTGTGTGCATCTCAGGACCTGTGAGGGCTGCACATAGCAGCATTATTTGTGACAGAAAAAAATAAAAATTCAAATGTTTATCAATAGTAGAATAGATAAATTATAGACTGTGCAGGTAAAGGAGTCTCATGAAGAAATGAAAATGTCTGCACCACTGCTTTATGAGCTGTCATGAATAAATCTCAATGCATAATGCTGGAGAAGGAAGCTGGTAAGGAAGGAGGAAGTACTATGACTCTGTTTGAGTAAGTCTCCAGGCTTCCAGGGCAGCACTGAAGCACTGCAGCCCACTTTTCCAAGCAGGGAGCAGAGCAGTACACCCTCCTACAGGCAGAGGAGAGGATGGATCCAACACTTCCAGAATTAACAGTCAGCTACCCATCCCCAAGGGAACAGTCAGTGAGGAAGGGGAGAGGTCAAGACTGTTACACACTTCTTGTTTCCTTTAGGAAAACGAGGAGTAGAGAGGAACAATTCCACATTAAAAAGAAATTTGCTGCTACATTCCCTCTGTTTGCCTACACATTCCCACTTCTGTTTCTTTATTATCGGCCTTTCTCAAACTCAGCGCGCTGATATTTTGGAATGGACATTTTGTCCTGGAGGCCCTTCTGAGCATTATAGAGCGATTAGGTGCCGTTAATACTCCCTCCTGGCTGTGACTACCAATAATGTCTCCAGAAGTTGCAGATGACTTTGGAGGGGCAAGGTACTCCCCCGCCGAACTGGGAACCATTGTTTGGACCATGTATGGCAATGAGGTGTGAATCTGTGTAGTCAATCTCTTTATAAAATTGCACTGAGAGAAACTGCGCTTTGTGTCCAAGCCTCATATGTGTGTTTGAATGCACGGAAACTATGTAAAGGAATGAAAACATATGAAACTAGCTCAATTTGTTGGACTATTCTTAGATTTACAGTCACATTGATATGATTATGAGTACTTACATTTTATAAAAATGATGTTAAAGAAATGACGCTCAGGTACTTACAATAAATTTAAATTGTAACTTGAGTATTAGGGAACAGGAAAATATCATACATACTATGAGTTAAAATAGCCTAGAGTAATTAAAATTTTACTGCATTTTTTATAATTTAAATAACTAATCATGTCTTACTCTGATTTTCATCATTGAACAGATGCAGAGAAAGAAGTTAGAGTTGTATCATATAAAAATTAAAAATAAAAATACATATATCATTTCCTTATTTTCTATTTACTTTTCTTTCTGCTACTTAATTTTTAATTATTACTTAGGAGTCTTGAAAATAATTATGTAGATTTATCCTAGTTTCTAAAAAAATGGTGAAATTATGAGAAAAATTCAGATATTTTTAAGGAAACATTGCTCTTTTTCATAAAATTAACTGAACATTAAATAAAACAACAGTCTATTAATGACAAAATTTGCTAAACTCAGTTACAAGAGATTTCCAGGAAAATGATTAGATTGCTTAAATTAACTCAAAACAAGACAAAGATACTTCAAAAAGCATAACTTCATTTTTTGAAAATTATTTTTCATTTTGTCTACGGGTAGAAATTGTTATTGCATAGACAGAACTTTTGCTGGCACACTTATTATTTGGGATAGAATTTTTGGTAACTATGAAAATCAAAAAATTAACTTCTTTATTACAGAAAATCAAAGATCATTTCTAAAATATTTGCCTTCCAGGACATTTGAAGAAGAAAATAAGAGTTGTGCATGGTCTAACACTTCCCATGAATATGTTTGAACAACTCAAGGTGCAATACAACTGGTCTTATTCTTTCTGAATTTATGACATTTCACTAATCTTACAATTGTGAGAAAAATTAGTTGTTGAAGGATGGAAATGTATTATACTCCTGTGGAAAAATATTTAACTGTAAAAGAATTTGAAAATAACTTTGCTACTCAAGAAAAAGTTGAATCAAACTGGGCAAAATGCATTTCAAAAAACTCATTTTCATATGAATTTTCAAATATGTCTGCTACCTGGAATGAAAACAAAGTGGTTCTTTAGAGAACATATTCTTTCTCAAAATAGACCTAGGACACATTCGTGTATTCAGAAGAAGAAGTAGTGACATTTATAACCAAGGTCGATCCCACAGTAAGAAAAATTTTTGCTTCAGGTCTGCAGGACTGGTTAGATATTCACATGCGGCCTGCACACCACTCTTCTTGCACCTAAGTGTCAAGAACTACTATAGCTCAATTAGGTCTGCACATTACCCAGGTCTGCACATTACCTCACCTGCTCAGATTTGTTGGACTTGATCAGTTTTCTATTAACATGTGGTATTAGTTGTTCCCTGGCTTCAGTGGTTGGTGCTACAGAAATGAGGAATGTCCCTGGTGAAGCTTTGATATCAGACCACGACAAAAAACCCCTGTAGTTTGGGTCTTGTTAATGAGAAAAAGACAAGAATGCTCAAAAAGCTGAAGAGGTTACTCAGCAATAGCTTTGTACAGGGCACCAGTTACAGCATTCAGTAGGTGATAGCACTGGATTTTCCTTTATGTATGCTCTTCGTGTTTTTGTACGATGTTGAAATAATCGATGTGTGCTACACGTCTACTATGAGCAGCACACTGTAACCAGCACAACACAATATATTCAATGTCACCATTACTAATCACCTGTGGGGTAGTGGCTCTTTTTATTTTCATATTCTTGTGGAGGAAACTGAGATTTCCAAGATTTAAATAATTCACCCGTGTTCACACAGTTTGTCATTTACAAACCTAGCCAAGGAGGGCTGGAGGCCAAGGCACTCACTGCATTGGACCTTCACACTTTGCTGCCTCTATACTGTAAAGGCCATAGCAAATTTCCTTCACTTTGTAAGTGAAAGGCATTTTATCTCCTCATAAACTGAAAGTTGATTATCTCTCTCCATTCTTCTCAACTACATGGAACTTCTTTCTCCAAGCTTCTGTAGGTTGAACTTTACCAAGAATATGGTATGTCTATGAGGTGAACACCAACACATATTCTTAGGTACTTTTTTTTTTGAATTTTATACAAAAATTCAGTTTTACTCTTATTCTTACATTAAGTGGGAGCTGACATCTCTAACTTACAGGCAAGCAAATACTTTTGTTTTCTACCTCCTAGCTGAACAAAAACACACATAATGTTTTTAGACAAGATTTGTTTTTTTTGTTTTTTGTTTGTGCCAGGGATCGAACTCGGGTCCTTGTGCTTGCAAGGCAGGCAGCGGAACCACTAAGCTAAATCCCCAGCCCTAAGACTTGGTTTTTGTATTTCAAGGAGAATACCATATAACCCTTCCTTAAATAAAATGACCAGGGTATAATGAAACCATCTTTAGAGGAAATGTTTAATATGCATATCTTATTTAAATAAATCCTCCAATAAGAAATGGAGAATTCATTACCTTTACCTTGAAGGCTATGTAGTTATCTGCCAAATTTATATGTGCAGCTCACCATTCCCTTTTTGGAAATAGCAGTATTTCCACATAATAGCTCTCAAAAGGACTTAAAAGTCTCAAAATTCTGTCTCCTTTGGCTTGCTTCTCTCTTGATTCCACCCAGGCTTTATTAATGGTTCACTTCATATCATCATCTCCATCTTCATAAAGTTTCTTTAGAACATTCATTAATCCCTCACTAGGATCTGTTTCAGCATCATAGGATGGCTTTTCTTTTTCTTTGCATTCTTTTTCAACCTGAGTCAAGTATCCCCATGGTGTGTTTTCTGCTTTCTTTCTACGTAAGATAAGAACTTTATCTGTCTTGATTTTTTTTGAACTGCCTTCCACTGAGATGGGTTTTAAGAGATTGTCCACAATCATAGAGTAACTCTTCCCGTTTAGATTCTTTACCAAAAGATCAAATGACCTCTCTGTGAAATGCACCTGCACATTCTCAGCAGGAACTTGATGAACTCCAGTTAAGGTAATGTAGATGTTCGCAAACTTATCTGACTGATCCCATCCGTAATTACTGATTTTCACAGTATATCCTGTTGTGATGGGAGCCACCACAGCAGCTGGTTTTTCATTGTCAAGAAATTCTGGGGTTTTTTTGTGATTTTTGTTGCACCTTATTCTTTATTTCTGTTTCAATCTTGGATTTTTCAGCTGTCAGGGCATCTTGTACTCACTTCTTAGTGGCCTTTTCCAACAACACCTTTACCTCTTCTAGATCATTCTGCAACTCCTCCAAAACTGAAGCCATGGCTGGGCTGGGTCAGACCGGAGGCCAGAGCAGCAGGCCTGCATGCAAGGACAGGACCCAGCGCACTCTCTGTGAGCGCGGACCACAGCAGCATGGGCCGAGGGACCAGCAGTTGCGCGCACACCCAACCTGCACGAGATCGCGGCCCGCCCTCTACCAGGTACTTTTTAAATAATAAGCTTTATATAATTGATGCCAAACTAAAACAATGCATTGAAAGCTATGGTCTCTGCATTTCTTGTGGGGTTTGTCAACTTAATACACAAATTAAAAAAGAAATATGAAAGTTGGTCTCTATGCTTTAAGAAAGTGATTTTGAAACCCAATGTGCATGTGAATCATAGGAGGATCTTACTAAAGTGCAGATTCTGTTTGGTGGGCCTGAGGTCTAGCCCACAGTGCTATGTTTCTAGCAAACTCCTAGGTGAAGCCCATGCTTTTGGTTAATTGTTGAAATCTTTCAGTACCATGGCTTTGAGAATATATACTTTTGCTGAGGACAAGGGGCTCAGTGAGAGCAACACAAATAGTTGGATGATTGTAATTTGGAGAGACACAATAGTGATGAGGTATTTATGAGCCATTGCTGAATTTGCATTAGACTAATTCTTCAGATCTCTACCACCATAATAACATTTCCTTTAGCATAGTGATTGTCATAAGTGGGTCAAAAGTTAAGTCTCCCACCTGCTCACTTATATTGTCAGAAATATCAAGTCAGCAAGTTATGATAATCAAGACTCCTTGAATGTACACAAATATATTGGTATTCTCACTCGTATCCCATTATATACAGCTAAATTTCTTGCCTATCATCTGAGTGCATCAAAAGCAATTTAAGATGGCTCCAATTAGAGAGAGGGTTTTCTTTTAGTTTGTTTTTATGCATAGATCATTCAAGTCCCAAAGTTTCAGGGCATTGACAATTAATGAGAACAAGTATTTTTAAATATTACAGTGTATTTTTCTGACTTGTATTCACAATGATACAAAAAAAAATTGCAGTCAGTTCCCCCCAAAATCAGATAAGTATTAAATGTGTCTTATAATTCCTAAACACATTAAAGTTTTGTATTAGTATTAAAACAAAGTATCAGGTTATTCTCTAACATTTACCTTGTTCTTAAAATCTACTCCATTAAATTCTATATTTTTTCTTAGTTGCTTTAGATTCCTAATTGTAATATTTCAAGCAATTTTAATCCTTTTTTATAAAGCTAGCATTTTAACTTCTTCCAGAGATTACAAAAACACCAGCAAGACCACAAATTCTAAGAGTCAAAACTTCTAGGCTGAGGATTTAGCTCAGTGGTTTCACCTCCTGTCCTGCAAGCATAGGGACCTGAGTTCGATCCCTGGTACAAAAACAAAAACAATAACTTCTTTCTCCATTAATGCCTTTTCAAACTGGCAATAGAACATATTTTAGAGTGTATATCTAATGCTCAAACTACAGGACCAGTTTTAATCCTTGTTACATTATCTGAGGGTGTGTATGACATACAGAGATAATTTACTAATAGTTAACAGTATTAAGCACTTATGTGTGGGCACATTTTCAACTCCTATATATGTCAAATGTATTATTTAAAGAATATAGATTCCTTCTATGAGAATCAAGGCAAACTGTTCCCTCAGTGAACAAACTTTTCCTTTCTAATTATAGATTACAGACTATATTAATACTTAGAAGTCTACTATCTGAAATGGATTTGAATATTTTTGTTAGTATAATATTTTGATTATAAATTAGTAAGTAAATATCAGACATGTGTCTTTTAAATGTTTGAACATATATCCAATCTTTATGTTTGACTTTAATATCTATTTAGCAAGAATTTAGAAAAAGTGTCATTTGATAAGATGTTGAGTAAATAGTCTGCTAGTTAATTCCTCTTAAGAAAAGGTTCATAACCTGCTTTGACTACTTTGCTGATTTTCTAATTCTATTGCTTTATTTTTTTAATTTAAAAATTATAATTTGATTGAACTTCATAAATATTTGAAGGCACACACTTAAATATATATTGAATGTGTAGAATGAATTATATATTCATCACCATTAACCTAATCCTACATAACATATAATTAAGGAAAATATATGTAAATTAATTGAACAGTCTATTAAAATACGCAGTCAGTTGTACTTAATCTTTTTGCAATTTTTCACTTATTTTAAATGAACTGTAATTTTATTTTTTCTAGTTCTGAAATTTATTTTACATATGGACTACATTCAGGACCACACCTGGATTCTTTCATAAGTTTTCTGTCATATTTAAAGGACCAGGAAGGGGCCTAGGTAAACCAAAACTTGGACTGAGTGAAGAGATCCCAGTGGTAAACAGAGTTCGTGGAATTGGAGATGGTGATTAGCCCCCTATTATTAGGTCTACAGCCAATCTTATACTATACAGTAATACCTCGATTCACGAACACTTTTGTTAACCAACAATTCATTTTGTGAAGAGGAGCATTCAGTAAAACTTTGCTTCCATTCATGAACTCAGCATTGGGTAATGAACACAACTGTGGCCATCTTCCTCAAAATCATGAAACGAATTAAATTCATGGACTGAGTCACCACTGTAGATAGTACCTTCATGCATATTTGTAAAACTGTGTTCACATAGTCAGGTGCAGCCCTGTGGTGCATAACTTAAAGACCACTTAGGGGTATAAAAAAGGAGGGCTATTACTAGGTAGACACTGGCTCTTCCCAGGGAGGATAGATTGGGGAGCAGAGAAACAGGGGGTAGTTACTGTATCTATTCAAACCTATGGTAAGACCTTTAATGCAAGGCATAGCTTCACAAACTCTTGCAGCTCACATGATCAGCCTAGAAGACCAGTAGTGAAGGGAATCCTCAGAACCATTCAGTCTGTTCTTGGTTTCATGAAAACCTAATTCCCTGAAACAGAAGATCTAAACACACATCAAAATAATGTTATTTTGGGTCAGACCACCTGTATTCATTTAATAGTGGAGTGAAAAGCTCAACTATAGAAATCATGTTTAAAACCCAAAATATGAAATGCAGAGAGATTTACAATACAGGAAAGCAAATGAAAATTTCAATTTTTATCTGATATCCTCTTTTAGAGTAGAAAACAGAATTCCTTTTTGATAATTCAGGGTATATATTACTTTTTTATCAAATAAATATCATGAAAGAAATACAGAATCAATAAGAAAACTATTCTTCATTTGGAAGATGGTATATGAGTATAAAAATTAGCTCTTGATATTTTGAGAAAATAAAATGTTTAATTTAAGTATAATTATTTTACAAAAATCCTGAATTCCCCAGACAGTTTTTACACTTACAGTGAACCATATAACAATCACTGATATAGATGAAAATAACAAGCTTATTTTAGCTCCAAGGATACTAGTACTTTCATTGTTTTTTCTCTCTTTCATAGGTAAGGCAAATGAATAATTTAAAGTTATGTGGGTGCTGAAGTCTGCATTATCAAAATAGAAGCATAGTATTTCTGTATTTCTGGGAAACTCAGTAGTTTCAAAAAAATCTCTTCCAACAAAATACTATTTCTCTTTGAGGCTTGATTAGCTGCACTGCCCCAAGTCATTTCCCTTTATATTTCTACTTTTGCTTTGGTGGAATGTTGTTCATAGATACATTTTTAGGTGAGAAAGATTGACATTTTGCTATTATTATTAACACATATTGGTGGATCAATTTTTTACTTTTTAAGAGAGGTGAAATCATAACTGTAGTGCTTCTGAAATGAGAAACAAGTCTCTTAATTTATAAACATTTTTATCCAAAATAAAATAAATGTCAGAATCTCTTAGAAAAACATGGCAAATCCTTTCACTTATTTACTACAAAAGTCTTCACTTAGTGGAAATTTCACTAAGGAGAATAAGCCCTGGAACAGTAGAGTAAAGGCTCAGCTTTTTTCTTGACTACCCAGGTTGCAGGAAAAGCTCCCTTCTCATCCTCTGCATCTCAGCTATGAAAGACGTACACAATCACACAGGTTGCTCTGATGCAGGCATTTCATGGAGATACCTTTGCAAATACAGTGGTAAGTGAGATCCACTTTAAATACAGCTTGAGAAACTTAGCTCATTTTATTTGAAAATGAATATAAACTCCCCATGGCTCTCTTCTTCTCTGAAATTACCTGCTTTGATTTTGGAAACATATTATATTTAAGCAGGTAAGTCTTCTTCTTGAGTATTCAGTGTAAATGAATTATTACAGCCAAAGAGCCATTGTACAGAATGTTCATCAAATGCTACAAGTGATAAAAAATTGTTTGGTACAAATAAGTTTCACTAAAATTAGAAATTAAATGCTTCTGATGTCACAAACTGTGTTTAGGAAAGCGTATTTTTCTTCAAGTTCAGGATATCCACCTTGACTTAGAAAACATCTTGGTAGAATGATTTTAGGAAATTTTCAAGGTACAGTTTACATTCCTTATTTTTTTTCATTTTAAAAATATTCCAAATACTCAATTTGTTTGATTCTGATTCAAGCATAAGAGCACTAGACCGGGCATCAGTTTAGGCATGAATACCTTGGTCGTTTTTTGGCCACAAAAGAATATTCATACTTCCTATACTCTGGAAAAAACCAAGAATAACATAAGGTATGTAAAAATGCACTGTACATGCAAAATGGTAAAAACATGTTTTTAAAAATTATCTGGTTTGTTTTATAGATCTATCTATATTTTTCATGAAAGTATTTGCAACAGTTTAAAAAGGTACATGAAAACCAGTAAGGTAACTAAAGTGGAAGTAGGTGAAATGGAAAAAGGAAATGCAGAAGAGATATAAGAAAATATGAACATGCCTAAGAAATACGCACCTTATGAATTAACCTCACTGAGTCAGTAATGTTGAGAGCTTCACATTAATTCCATATGAACAATAGTTACAGAGTTTTCCTTATTTCCAGCAATATGCTGGATTAGATAAACCTATTTTAAAAGGGATACAGGATATCTAGAATTTTTTGATAAAACATACATACTATTTCTTAGCATGCACAAAATCTTAGCAAAACCTCAAGAACACTGAAGAGCCAAAAATGTTCAGAAAATCTGAATGCAATAAAGAAACAGCTAATGTCACAAATCCTGACAGCTAAACTCAGATTTCTGACAGCTCCTGATGGTCACAATCTTAAGTGACAAAACTCAGAGCCTGCATAAATCAGAGAAGAAAAAATCTCAAATAAAATGACTGAAACCAAAAGAAATAGAATCACTGTCAATGAAAGGAAGGCAAAATAAGAAAACATTAAAAGAAAAACCTTTCCTATCTTGCATTTGGCTTTGAAGAGGCAGAAAAAAAGGAAAGTCTTCTCTGAGAATGTTTAGCTACAGTCAAGCCCTCACATAGATTTGATCAATACTTATAACAACTATGGCCCAGATAAAGCCAAGATAAGAATAAATTTAAACTGGTATTAGATTAGATCTCAAGTATGTAAAAGAAGCATGTTCAAAATTAAGCCTACGATAATGCTGTAACTTTAAGCCTCAGAGTGATCCTATAGACAGCATCCCAACAATTATAACCTCAGAGTTAAAAGTCACAAAAAAATACCAGTATTGGCCAAAACAACAGAACCAAAGCCTGAAAGAGACCAAATATTAAAAATGAAGGTAATTAATACATTAAGTAAATTTAGTATCTTTGAAGAAGATTACAAATTTAAAAATCATAAAAATATATTTTAAAGCCATATAAATAATAGGAAATAATATATAATGTAAGCTAAAAATTGATCTATTCTATGGTTATGAAGAGTTTTATTGCATAAATCCTATGGAATTATCTTAACTACTCATGCACCAGTATAGCAATTCACTGTAAGAATTCTATATGTGCCATAAAATTTATACACTGAATAACCAAAAAGAGGTCTATTTGAAACAGTATATTGAGCGTGTTAATTGTGCTTTTTGGTTGTATATGACAGAAATTCAGCCCAGAATAAATTTATTAATTTACATCACTAGAGTTTGGAACTATTGCTTTGTCAGACAGTTCTGGATCTAAGAGGTCAAGTAGTGTTATCAAGGAGCTTTGTTTCTTGTAGCTTTGCTTCTCTCACTATAGAATCTCTTGCAGATTGTCACCCTTCATGGTGACAAGATGGCTGCCAGCTGCTCCTTCTTTAAATGCTGACATACCGACAACCCTAGTGATGACAGTAGTAAAACTGAGCCTGATGATATGGCATGCTTCATCTGAACACCACTGCACCAGTGAATGTGGGTAGGCAGGGCTCTTGTGACTACTCTGTAACAGCAGGGCCAGATTACCATGTAGAATCCTTCTGATCTGAGAGGAGGAATAGGATGGATTGCTTTCCTGTCGCTGGGAGAAAATATCCAATATTCACAATTTAAAGGAGGAGAGGTTTAATTTGGCTCACAGTTTCAGAGGTTTCAGTCCATGTTAAGGTGACTCTAAGGCAGGAACATAGTGGTAGAAGGATGAGATGGAGAAAGTCGCTCGCTTCTGCTGGCCAATAGAGCAGACAGCAGAAGAGTACCAGGGAGAGATCTACCCTCCAGGCCCGCGGCCAGTGGCTCACCTCTGACTGGGACCTGCCACCTCCACAGCTCCATCAGCTATGAACATCAGTAGATTAATAAACTGATTACTGTAATGCCCCCATGATCCAATCATCTCTCCCAGGGTCTCTTAATCCAGGTAAACTGACAAGAAAGCTTAGCTGTCATAAATAACAAATGTTAATTTATATAAATCTTACTCATAAGTATGTGAGTTGACTTATTTTTTAAAATACTCACTATTCACTTACAAAATGCACAGTGGCTTAATTTTCCTGCAGGATTCAATTTTAGGTATCTTTGTGTAAAAGTACATTAGAAGTCTTCTGCTCTGAGAAACAAAGCATTTAATTAAATGTGTATTGGATATAAGTGGAAGTTCAGAGGCACGTATTTCCATGGTTGATTAGTTTAACAGTTCAGAACTTCCAGAAAGGCTTCTCTGAAGTTCTCTTGGCTTTTGTCTTCACAAGATAATTGCAGCAATTCCAGGCATCATATGTCATAGACTGTGACCAAAGGCAGCAAGTTCAATTATCTTTAAGCATCTCATGAACTTCATATAAGTTAATGAAAAAAAAATTCAGATTTCTTCCTAGAAAACTTCCTTTTATGCCTCACTGCTCCCACTAAACTAACAACTAATACCATTAATTCACATGCTCCCACTAATCCAGTAGCTAAAATCAGGCTATGCACTAACCTTGAGTGAATTACACCAAGCAGAGTTCATGCTCTCAGGACAAAGTGCTCACTTTTCCCCTGAATACATTCCTGACTTATACCTGGACACCATTAGGACAGAAGAAATGGGAGAAATTTTCTGTTTGGACCCACATTGTGTCCAGCTGAATAAAATAGAATTACAGAGAATTGTTATAGCAATTACCAGAAATACATATTTTAAAAGCCATTTTAATTTTTAAAATTATTAGAAAACTCCAATAGAGGTGTCTATATTTCTGATTTTTCCTTTTTTATGCATTCAAAGTTAGGAATCAAATATTCCTCCATCTAATGACCTCAGTTTTGAGCAACACATAAGTTTGCATATTTTCTGTTTATGTACAATTTTAAAAATAAAGAAAAAGTTATAGGTAAACATGCACTAGACTTTCCTAAATAAAGCAAAAACTGATTTGTATTTTACTTTCCATTTTGTGAACCAAAAGCAGGAACTAGACTACAATGTGACAAGAAGTATCTTGAAAATATAGCAGTTGGATTTACATTGTCCTGTTGTTTGTTCTTCTTTATATTATTTAGAAAGTACACAGTATAACAGGTTGCTTTGATTTTAGACCCCAAAAGATAAAAATTTGAACCCACGAATTTCTTTCAAGAGCAAAACTTTCATAACAGCAGCGTTAAACTACATCACTTTTAGGAGAGTGCACATGTAGACATCAAAATACTAAAATGGTGAAACTTGTAGTCATTTCTGGGTATCCACAGGAGATTGACTTCAGGACCCCTCACCTCGTGGATGCAGAAATCTGTCCATGCTCAAATCTCTGGTATAAAATGGAATAGGGTTTTTGTACAGAGTTCTCAAACCATCCTTTTTACTTTAAAACATCTGTACATTTATAATATTTAATACAATGTAAATGCTATGTAAATAGGTCTATTGTTCAAAGACTAGTGACAAGAAAAACATCTATGCATGTTTAGTACAGACACGCTATTTTCTGAATATTGTCAATATGTGTGCACTTGAATCTGCTGATGCAGAACCCACAGATGCAGAGGAATGACTATAATTGCTTAATCTGAGCACCCATAACCATTGCTTCAAGTATTATTTACTTAACCCGACACTGGTTACCTTGTTTAATACATTGTCATAATATGTTCACCCAAAATATGACTAAAGTATATACACATTAACAGAGTTTAGATAAATGTGTGAAAGAAAAAGTAGGTAATCTTTATCAAAATACCAATTTCTTGATATATTAATGTTGAGTGCAGTTTGCAGTATTTCTTCAGCTACGAGTAAAATTCTTGAATATATTAATTCATAGACTCAAAATGAAAATGTACACTTTTTAAACTATGAGAGCCTACATTTTGGTTTTGAAATGGAGACCTTTTAGCATTAAGTTCATCGAGACTTGGATGTCTGGACATGCGTGAGAGCTTCTAAGATAAAACTGTAGCCAGGCACTGTGCATACTAAGTGACTTACAGCATGGTTTTCCCAAGATTGTTACTGTTATATAAAAAAAACCCAACTATATGAGAAATTCATGTAGAGATACTGATGAAGAGAAATATCAAGTGTTGAAACCCTTCTCAAATTGAAATTAGCATTGAAGACAGCTTCATTCCTGACACAAATTAATTTTGAAAGGTACATTTGCTTTTCCCCACATGTGTTTTTCTTTGCTGAAAACATGCTGTGTGACTAAGGAAAAAGGTTGCTTATTTGCAAAATTCTATAGTGCCTTTCTAGTCTCAGGGATGTTTAAAAGCATATGCACATT